TTCCATTAGTTTCTGCCTGGCCGTGGGTTTCAGAGGTGCCAGACCAGTTAACATGTCAGTTCCTTGGATGGTGATCCCTGAAGCACATAGTAAAGTGAGTTCAGATCCCAGACTTGAGCTGTATGGGGTATGAAGCTGTGCAGAGTCTATGGACAGGGTTTAACAGCTAACTCTTTTGCTGCCATAGTTAAAGTGAATGGCAAGCTTCTTTGCAGCGTCCTTAGGCCCACAGGGAAATATTTTTCTAGTTATCATCTCACTGTCTATAGTGGGTTGTATTTTTCAAAGAAGGATGCACTAATACATACCCATGCCAACATGTTCTTCCTTTGGTGTGATGTTGAGTCTTGCTTCAAGAGGTGAGGTCGGTGTTCTGCCTCCCTGAAAACTAACTTCCTGGTAAATTAAGTGCCTTGGAAGTGACACTGTGTGATTTCCAAGGCTAGGGCATAAAAGGTGACACAACTTCCACTGGCTCTCCCTTAAGATACTCACCTTTGAAATCCAGCCACCATTTTGTGAGGAAGCCAGGTAACAGGAAGAAGCCACTATATAAGGGTTCCAGCTGACACCTACAGCTAAAGTCTCAGTCCACAGCTGGCATCAACCACCAGACATGGGAATGAACGAGCCTGCAGGTGATTCCAGTCCCAAGCTTTCGATTCTTTCATCTGAGGCCCAGACATCATGAAGCGGAGCCAAGCTGTCCCTGCTGTGCACTGTCCGAATTCCTGACTCAAAGAATCCCTAAGCACAATAAATGGTTGTTTTCCATGACTAAGTTTTGGAGAAATTTGTGATGCAGTCATAGTAACTGGAACAGTACTTCTTTGTGACTTCCAGCTTTCGGCAGATGCTCAACAGTGGCTTCCTATGTGAGTGTTCCTTCATTTCTGGCACCTGGGGATTTCCTTCTCTTGGTCCCTAGCTCAGCCACATTTCCATAAATTATCTTATTATATTTTACCCAGCATTTGAAACATACCAAAGTAGAATGGAGTCCCATCCATGTCACCTCCTTCTGCCACACAGCCCAGAAGTTCCCATAACTTTTCAAATGAGAACATAAATAATTGATGTATTTAATTCCTCTTATATATAAAGATAGCTTATATATATATATACTTGAAAATAAAAAAGAGAGTAAGTACTATGGAAAATATATTTATTAAAGGACAGATAATTCATTCCAGGAAAAAAAAATACAAAGGATCAAAGTTCATCCTCACTAGTTCTCAAATAAAAGCAAAATAATATAATGAGTTACTAACTTTTCCCAGTTAAAATGGCAAGGATTTTTCTTAAATACTAGACAATGTAAGATGAGGTTCAAGGAAAATAGAAGCTCTCATAAGAGTTCAGTATATGTATCAATATAATATGTCTGGAAAGCAATCTAGCAATATATATGTCCTTATAATTTTATATATTTTGATCTAGCAATTCCACTTCCAGGTATGTATCCTAAAGGAATGATTGTTGATAAGTACAAATATTTATCTTCAAGGATGCCAAATTCTGTACTTTTTATAATAGAAAAGAAAAAAGGCTGAAAATAACCCAAACATCAATGAGCAGATGGTAAGATTATTTTTAGTTTAAAAAAAAAAGATATTATTTATTCATGAGAGACACAGAGAGAGACAGAGGCAGAGACACAGGCAGAGGGAGAAGCAGGCTCCATGCAGGGAGCACGATGTGGGACTTGAGGATCACACCCTGGGACAAAGGCAGGCGCCAAACTGCTGAGCCACCCAGGGATCCCCTTTAGCTTTGTTTAAAGCAAAATAGTTATTAAGTGAACATAAAAACAAGTTGTGGATTCATTGAGAAAGCTGTTTATTTATCCACAATGCCAGTCATTGCACTAGCTGAAATACAAAAATGATGATGATGCAAAAGCGTACAGTATGTTGAGGGCAATAAGGTAAACAAACGATTATAGTTCACTATAATAAATATTAATGAAAAAGGTATGTTTCAATTCTGTGATACAACAGAGCATTTGTTAACCCAGCCAGATTGGGGAAGTAGGAGTTTTGCTTTTGTTTTTGAGCAAGGGACGTTCAAATTAAGTCCTACAGGTTCTCATAAGTAGCAGTTGACTGTGATGGTCAGTAGGCTGCATGTCTACTAACATTCTTGCTCCTCCAGAGAATAGAGTTGTTCCTAAGAAGTGCCTACTTCCCCATGATTGGAGCTTGAATGAGTGTAATGTGAATGCTTTCTGCAAGAAGTCTTTCAGAAGCAGGTCTGCTTTCTCCATACCTTCCTTCTTCTCTTCCTTCTGCTGGCTACAGTGAGATAATAAGCAAGTGGTAATGAATGGTAGAGCCTGGTCCTACAACCAACTGGAAGAAAACTGCCTGCGGAGCAGGACTATCTGCCTCACAACTCTTGTATGAGCAAGAAATAAACTTTTACATGTCATGTCACTAAGATGTTGAGATCCGTGTGTCATTACAGTTAGCAACAGGCTAATACATGTAACTTTTTATTCCCAAATGTGAGGACATTAGCTCACTTACTCAAATACCGTCACTAAGCATGTACTATGTGCAAATCAATATACCATGTGCATGACTGATACGAAGAACTAAACAGAGATTTTGCCTTCACAGAATTTCCAGAGCAAAAGGAAAACAGTCACTCACATGACTGTAATATAAGGCAAAGTGTGACATTACAGCCTGATGAAGGACAAATATTTCACATCAGGAGAGTTAAAAGAAGGCAGATATTACTTTCACTTGGAAGTTTAAAAAATACTTGGAAAAAGCTAGAAAATGATATTTATTTTTTTTTATTTTTTTTATTTATTTATGATAGTCACAGAGAGAGAAAGAGAGAGAGGCAGAGACATAGGCAGAAGGAGAAGCAGGCTCCATGCACTGGGAGCCCGACGTGGGATTCGATCCCGGGTCTCCAGGATCGTGCCCTGGGCCAAAGGCAGGCGCCAAACCGCTGCGCCACCCAGGGATCCCTAGAAAATGATATTTAAATAGAATTTAGACAGGCAGAAATGGCAGTAGAGCCATTCCAGGAAAAGATATAGATGTGAAAGATGCCATGGAAGATGGAGCAGGGTTCAGATAAGAGTACTGTGAGAGATAAGGCAATGACAGACTGGGGCGAGATCACAGACAAATCTGAATGCTAGCCGAAGTGGTTTGCACTTCCTTCTTTGAGCAATGGGAAGGCACTGATGGGTTTTGAACAGAGGTGTAGCACATTCAGAGCCACACATTAAGATTAATCTGTCAGAGACTAGAGCCAAGTTAAGACCTACAATCATCATCATCATCATCATCATCATCATCATTCAGAGTGCTTTAATTAGAGTGGCAGCAGTGAGACTACAACAGCTGATTGAATTTAGGAGGCTCAGCAAAGAAAGAAAGAGTCAAAGATAACTGAGACTGTGAATGAAGGTGACTTAAGAGAATGACGAATTACATTCAAAGAGAAATTGCTAGTCTGGCATGGAGAGCAACAAAGGGCTCAGTTTTAGATAAAATGCGTGGAGGATGTCCAGGCAGAGCTATAGAACCTAGGTCTAAGCTGTAGGAACTGAGGACTATAGCTTTGGTTGGGAGAAGAAATTCTAAGAGTTATGTATTCACGGGTGAGAAGTAAGGCCAGAGACTGGATTAAAGTTGCCAAAGAAGACTTGGAAGGGAGAAGAAAGCCAGATTTCCTTAAAATGTGTGCAAAGTAGGAAGATAAAGAAGATAAAGAAGCTGAGAGGTGATTGGAGAGACAGACAATACAGAAGAACCATAATTATAGGAAGCACTGGACCGTGTCCAATTCTATAGAAGTTAGTGGCGGAAGGTACCAGTAATAACATAGCAACACCTAAAGTACAATCTCATTTAATCCTCAAAGAACCCAAAGAAACACAATTCCCAGTCAATCACTGACCAGGAATTCACATCCAACAAGGAACACATATTCATTGGAGTAAAATGAGCCTGGATTCTAATCTTGATTCTGCCCTTCAATAGCTGCCTAACCATAGGGTCATGAAGAAAATAATAGTGCCTCCGAATCTCATAGGGTTAGTGAGGATGAGATTTCAAAATGCATGTAAAGTGTTCAGCACAGTGCTGGACACGTAATAAACACTCAATGAGACAGGGGTGGAAGCTATTGTTTTAATTGTTTTTAAACAGTAAACACAGATCTTTCTCAATACAGTCTGTTGATGGAAATGTAAATCATTAAAGACTTCTTTGGAAGACAAGATTCTACCAAAAATTTTTAACATACACACATCTGACCCAGCAATTCTTCTTCAAGGAATTCAATTTACTGAACTGTCCCCATGTATAAGAACGTTCATTGTTGCATTGTTTGCAATAAGGAAAAATTGGAACTAATCTTAAAGAGGAATGGTCACATAAATCACAATACATCTATACCATATGATCATACATCTGTATGATACATCTACCATATCAATGCAAATCTAAGTAAACTGATAAGAAGTTATTTCTCACATCTTTTTCAGTGCAAAAGATAATTTCTCAAAAGAATCCAGATATGATTCCAATGATTAAAAAAAAACATGAAGAAAGAATAGAAGGATAAACACCAAATTAACTCTAAGACGTGTAAGAAAGAAAAGAGAAAAAGGTAAAGAGGGCTTTCATGTCTATCTCTATATTCTTCTGTTTGAATGAGAGCTACTGATGCATTATAATGTAAGTTTTTAAATGTAAGAACTCAAAAAAAGAAGCATCAGAAGTATTTTTGAAGAAATGGCACTGTGACAGGGGACTTTTTAAAAAGATTTTATTTCTTTTATTATTTATTCATGAGAGACATAGAGGGAGGGGGGGGGCAGAGACACAGGCAGAGGGAGAAGCAGGCTCCATGCAGGGAGCCCAATGCAGGACTAGATCCCAGGACTCCAGGATCACACCCTGGGCGGAAGGCAGGCACTAAACCGCTGAGCCACCCAGGGATCCCCCATGTGACAGGGTATTTAAACTCACCATTAGCAAGGTAGATAAAAAGCCAATGAAGATGGAAGAGCAGAGATTCTTGTGCTTCAGGGAGTACAATAGCCTGAAAACGGTTTCAAGCTGCATTTCTTTAGAGGCTCCACTGTTCATGTCTATGACCCCAAAAAGGTTGTAGGGGTAGAATGACTCCTACAATAGAACAGACTACCTGCATGACACAAATCTTTTCTAGTAATTGTAACCCCTCATGAAAAAAGTAATAAACACACACACTATATAGGTAAATCAGAAATGGCACAAAGCAAAGGCAGCAGAGCTAATTAACACGGTCAGGGTCCCAAGTCCTGCTCCACATGGCCCTGTGCAAGAGTGACGTACAGCGGCAGTCAGGGGCAGGGGTAAACACATCCCCCACAGCACCCTCCAGGTTAAACCCTGGCAGGTTGGAGGGAGACCCTGTAAGGCGTATCCACCCGATGCATGGAGGCGCATGTTCCCCTGTGCAGGCTCCAGGCTGGCAGGGAGGTCCTCTTGCCCCGGGTTCGTCCCCATGTCTCTCTGCGCGGCAGCCGTGGTCTGGTCCCCAAGCCCACTCGCCCGCCAGCTCCCCTCAAAGTGCATCAAGGAACTCTTGGAGGGACCCTTGTGCCTCACTGGGCTACTTTCCCCTGCCCGGGAGGGGGCCTAGGCAGCTGAGCTCTGGGCCCTCCTCCCCACCTCCCTTCAGCCCTGCCCCTGCAAGGACCCCAGCTCCCCCCTGCCCCCCGCGTCCCACGCCACCCCCCAGGCCGGGGTCCTCCGGAGACCCCCGCACTCACTGTGCCCGCAGCTGCCCCGCGGAGGGGAGGGGCCTCTGGGCGTGCGGTGGTGCCCAGGTCTGAGGCTCCCGCGGCGGGGTCACCGGGGGCAGCGGACTCCGCGGGAGCCGGCGGCGGCCCGCAGGAGAGCCCAGCCCCCGGCGCAGCCTGGCCGGGGCGTGGGGCGGGCGGCGGCGGGGCGGGGAGCGCACATGCTCGGCGGCCGGCGGCCCGGGGAGGCTCGCCAGCGCGGAGCGCCCGCCGCTCGGCCCGGCCCGGCCCCGCGAGCCACTCCGGAGGCCGCAGCCCCGCCCGCCCGACGCGCGCCAGTTGCCAGGCGCCCGGAGCTTCCGCGCCGCCCTCCTGGCGAGGTCACCTGCGGCGGACCTCGCGTAGCGGGGACGGTCGGTTGGGGTGCTGCGCCGGGTGTTTGGCGGCTAGGAGGCTGCTAGGACTCCCTCGACAACTAGCATAGGTGCCGCCACCACTGGCGTCATTGCTGGGGGCGGGGTGAGAGGATGCTGAAACAGGACTGGGTGCACAGGATCAGCCGTGGCACGAAAGTTGCGCCATGCACCTGCAGCCTGGGTAGGTGAGCAGCTGGACAAGGTCGGTGATGTTCAGTTCTCTGGGTCGCACTTTTAAGATTAAACTAACCAGGCTCTCCAGAGTACTGATGAGTCTACTGGAACTTTCAAACAGCCCAGCAAAACCTGCTAGCCCAATCTTAGGTTAAGTGACGTAGTCATCCGAGTTCCCTCGCCACGTCCGCCCGAATTCCATATTCTAGGTCTCCTTTGTCTAGGTTCTCTGGTGAGGAATTAGATGTGTCCCCTCCCCAGTAAAGCCTAGCACCCAGACTTGTGCGGTAGGGCCTTAGCATCTAAACTTTTACCAAATTATGTTCTAAACTCTTTACCTCCATTTCATGACCCCAAACAGGGCTCCAAGTTTAGCCCTAGGAACAGATGGCTTCAGATCTTACAAAACTGAAATTGCACACCACTTTCTGTTTTCATCAAGCTCCATACTCGTATTTCCTAGCTCCTCTTGTTAAGAAAACTCAAGTTAGACCTGGAACCTAATACTTGCCCCACCACTTGGTGATCCTGGGGAAGGCAAAGTTAACCCCTCATCCAAAAAATGGGGATAGTCCTATACTTAGCTAATAGGCAGCACAGTAAAAAAGACACCAGGATCTTAAAGACAAAGTCCTGGGACCCATTCCCCCAATTAATCGGTTCTGGGATTGCACCCAAAGTGGAGAACAAAAGACCAAGGATTACGTGGATTAAGCGTACACTAGCATTGAATACGTGATCAAATGTTTATTATTAAATGGTCTACTTTTGAGTCGCTTTCACATCCTCTTGGCTATCCTATCCCATCTGCCACTGACCCGGTCTCCCAACTCTTGACTCCTGCTGTTTTATCACCAGTTGTCCAAATTCTACCTCCTTTGTGAATTTTCCCAATCTGCACAGCATGAACAATCTCCTACATTCCCTTAACATGCTGTTGTATTTTCACATAAAACCTACACAATAAAACTCATTTTTGAGTCCTTTACAGTAATATGTGTATCACTCACACACACACCTTAACCTCCATGAACACACAGTGCAGCCCTACTCCTCTCACTATTCACCATGGACAATGTGCCAGCAACCGGAAAATCAAAAATTTAAATTGCTATTGCTCTTAAGAGGCTTGATTCAATCAAAAACCCCAAAAGGACTGCAATGCACCAGGCATTATTCTAAGTGCCAAAACAGAGAAGGCAAACATTCAAACGTTATAGTGGTTTCAGTACATATTCTCAAAACCTTGAGTGGCTGTGAAAAGCAACAAGAATAAATGGAAAAAACATTTCAGGTCATTGAGATGCTATGACAAATACAGGGTTATATTAAGAGATGTGTCAGAGAAGGTCTCTTTCCGGAATTAAAAAGTCAAACAAAGACCCGAGGGCCGAGTGTTCTAGACACAAGATTTTAAGGGTCAAGACCCTACATTAGAAGCTTGTCATTTTTGAGAAACAAAAAGATATAGCTGGGAACTACAAAGACCAAGGAATAGCCCTCCCAAACATTTCTCTGCTGTAATTCCTGGAATATGCTGCCTAAGGTAGGGACTTTTCTGATGCATTTAACTTAAGGAATTAGAGATGAGAAGATTATCCTGGATTATCTGGGTAGCTCAACTTGATCACAAGGGTCCTCACACTTTGCAGATGGAAGAGGCTATACGCCAAGAAATACAAGTTATTCCTAGAAACTGGAAAAAACAAGAAAATGGATTCTCTCCTAGAGCCTTCAGAAGGCAGGCAGGCCTGATGACACCGATTTAGCCCAGGGAAACCAATTTTGGACTTTTTACCTCTGAAATTGTAAAAGACAATAAACCTGTCTTAAATCACTTAGTTTTAATTTGTTACAACAGCAATAGGAAACAAAAACTTAGTGCCTACTCTGTCAGGTACTAGGTTGGAAGGATTAAAAAGCTGGCCTTAAAAAAGTTTATTACCCAAGGGAAGGGAGACTTCTGTATGAAAGCAAGGTTTTGGCTGGTTTGATACCAAACTGTAAAGGAAAGCAGTGGGGGCAGAATGTTATCCATCTTCCCCTACGGGTGGGGAAGCACCCCCAAAAGCAGATACATCCTAGACATCCCAGTAGCACTTATCTCACATTGCGCTAGGTCTAGCATACTAATTAGGACTGAAACATGTAAGTATAAGCCATTTTCCTTTGTATGACCCTGCCAGGCAGTACTCAAGCTACTAAATATAATAAATATTTCCTTAGTATTTTGAGCCAGAACTGCTCTAAACATTTTATATGACCTGACATCTTCATCAAAATCCTTATTAGGCACAGCTATCTTCCCCATTTTGCTGATGAACAGATGAATTATTGGCCCAAGCCATTAAGTGAAGGCTGGGTATGAACCCACTTTGGCTCCAGAGCCAGCATTCTTAATCCAGCCTACCACAAAGGAACTTTCAAAGATAAGCAATACCAGTTAACACCTGTTAAAGATCAGTGAATGTAGTAACTAAGCTTTGTGACTGGAAAACCAGGGTAGTGGCTTCTTACAACGGTGGATCGTTAAAGAGTACAAATGTACATTTACATATGTGAGGTGAATTTTTGTAGTAGAACCTGCTGGGTAGAGCCTAGACTTTCAAAGGTTAGCCCCTTCTGGCGTACAGATACCACCTTTAGGTGGGTTTTCTAAACAAGGTGTCAACCTGCATTTCAATAGGTTCTAACAGTTCATATCCCTTTTTGGGCCTCACAACCCCATGAAGACAGACCAATTACCCCCTACTTTATGCACTAGGACCTGACTGCAGGAATTATCACCTTGACAACATGCCTTCCTCCACTCCCACTCTTTGAAACTGCCTAAGTTCCTTTATTCTGAAGCAAGTGTTTTAGCCTTCTCTATGGCAACTAGATGTCTGCACCTCTTCCCAATTCCCAAACTCTTATTTCCCCAACCTCTGGACCTCTGGCTCCACTCAGATTAAGAATTTTTTGGAAAATTGAATTTCCCAGACTGAAAACAGAAACAGATCCAGACGACATGTACTGCCAATACATCGTCTGTTTCCTTATCCTACATATTCCTACAAAGATTCCTCTCTTCTTACCAGCTTCCAAAGCTTTGGAAAGTAGCACAAAGTGCTACTTTGGGTAATGTATCTATTCATGGGCTGTAACAAACCTACCACCTAGGTCTAGCTCCTTTCAAACACTAAGTAGGGAGGATTCTGGTGCAGGTGTCAAAAGAATCAACAAGGCACCTGTTTCATAATGCATCATGACCCTGGCACAGTGAGGGCTACAAAAACTTTTGTATGTACTTTGTATCATATTCTATAGTGAAAACTGTCAATTCACTAATCTAAGTGAGATATATACAATACATATGAATGTTATTCATAAAATTCAGTTTTTGCTCACTAGTGCTATTGGTGCTCCAAAATAACTTATTATCTATGGGCACAAATTTCATTTCTTCCTTTGTAATATACACAATTTATAATGGAATTACTTAAAATCTTACCTACAAATGCAAAGCAAGAAAAAAACATGGAATGCAAAATTGAAAACATGGCCACACAGTACTTTATAGAAAAGTCAAAGCCTCAGAAGATAGAATTTCAGCAACAGTATTTTTATTCGTAAACTGAATTTTTATTACCTTACCCATAAATCAGGCACAAAGGCCTATGAAATAGGCTTCCTTCAAACAGACCATTTTGGCTAACTCACTGGCACAATTCTAAAGTGAAAAATTAAGATTTATGCTATGTACAGAAGAGTCTTTAATAAACCCAAGGAATATTTTCCCACCAAGATACAAACTAGATCCTAAGTTTGAACGCAAATGCTGATGACTTGGCTTAATTTTAACACACCAAGATTTGCCTGTCAAGGGACAGCAGAGTCAGGCTGGAAAAGTCACCAAGACAACAACACATTTCCATTTGAAAGTAGTCATTTATTAACTGACCAGATTACAAAAATAATCATGGTAGATACCTGAAAAGGAAAACAAAACTAATTAAGGAAACCACCTTAATAGATTAGAATTAACATAAATCAAGAAATTAAGAAAGTGCTCCAGTTTCCATCCTTAAGATAAAAACCCCACGGTTTTTTCTCTTCTCCATAATGTCCCCAAAAGGAAGGAGTAATCAAATCAACTCTAATCAAATTAAGATGGTTGGCTATTTCCCTCCCTTAAAAATACTGATTAGAACCCAACCAAACCTCCATCAATATTTACCCAAAAAGGTATGAAACTATCATTTTTATTAAGTAAACTTCTATTAAGATGTAGCTTGCTCACCTTAGTTCATCCTTCTAATAAGCCTATTGATCTGGTCTTCCCTGTTGCCAGCATCTCCACCTTCTACAAAATGGGTGGTCTTTTTCTTCATTCCGCCACGTGGAGAAGATAATTTGAAGGGCCATAAAAAGTTGTTGGCTTCTTTGAAACGTTTTCCAACGGTATAGATCTCGTGAATCAGATCCTCCATGCAGATGATGCCATATTTACCTGAACATTTTAAGATCATTAAAATCGTTAGCTGTTTTTAGATTATGTTAGGATATTCAGCAAGAACAACTACAGTCTGAGAGACTATAAATCAAGAGTAAAGAAACAAAAGGGAAATACATGGCTACATTTACCAAGATAAAGCTTGAGCCAATGAAATCATAACTTACATTTTCCATAGACTTGTGCATTGTAGGGCATATGGCTAAGATTCATAACAGAACGTAAGGCCACAAAGTGCCAGAAAATGCCAACTTTGTCTCAAAGATCAAATTTCACCTCAAACAGGCAGAACTTACCAAGAGACCGAGCAATCAATGTGTTATCTGTCAGGGCAATTCGCTTCTTGTTGATCTTGCCATAACCACGCTTGTAGATCAATTCATTCACTGACTTCAGGTTTGGGTACCTGAAATGGGAAAAACCAGACATAAATGGCCAAAGGTTATCCTCATTATAATACTTAAAACCAAAAAAAAAAAAAAAAAAAAGAATACTTAAAACCCATCTTGCTAACACAGCCAGTTCAGAAAGAACTCACGGGAAAAGAGACTTACCCCCATGCTATATATGGTTCCACAATTCTTAGCATGTTAACTGAAGCCTTGTTTAGCTTAACAAAGGTGCCATTGAAGATCTGGCGAAGGCGAAGAAGCTGCAACACCTTTCGAACCTTTGGGCTCACACCATTGATACTGCAGTGAAAAAAAAAGAATTCACTGAGCTTTATCGGAATTTTTATTGGTGAATGAGGAATTACCCATTATAAATTTTGGACAACACAAGTCCCATCTAAAAGACTCTTCTCATGTTACGAAGACCATTGGCGTTTTTCCTTTAGTTAGCTGAACTATTCTATCCCCTGACCCAACCTGCCTCTTCCACAAGCAGGCTTTCTGTTAACACGTACCTTTGACATTTAAAACTTGTCTCATTTCCTTGTTTTGGATACAAGAGTACTTATGAACCTACACTTTAGCCTCTATTTTAAAGATTTTATTTATTTATTCATGAGACACACACAGAGAGAGAGAGGCAGAGACACAGGCAGAGAGAGAAGCAGGCTCCATGCAGGGAGCCCGATGTGGGACTCGATCCTGGGACTCCAGGATCACACCCTGGGCTGAAGGCAGCACTAAACCACTGAGCGAGCCACCTGGGCTGCCCTACTTTAGCCTCTTTTTATTAAAATTCAAATACCCAGTTAGAGAACAGATAAGGGCTTTGGGCCCAGGGCTTGCACCACAAAACCATCAAAACACCACCCTCCATGTCCTAGCTACACCAAAATCTTTATTCTGGTGTTTCAGAAACAACGGCCCCAGAAGTAACGAAGTTCTGCTGAGACCCTGTAGACTTCCCTTCGAAACCGGGATGCAGTTGAAACCCAACTTACCCTCTGATCCTGATGACAAATGCCAACTTGGGTTCTGCAGGCACGTAGAAGTTGCCAGCTTTTCTCGCCATCCTCGCCATGCGAATCTCAGTTCTGTACATCTGCCTGTATTCCTTGTGGTAATGCTTAGCCTTTTCGTAGATAAGCTTCCTCCTTGCCTTTCGAAGCTGGAAACCAACACCAGTTATTTCCCCGATTTTTAGCTCAACACCATTAGCCCTTAACACCTAAGGACCAGTTCCTTAGCGGTCCTCTTTATTGCCAACACCAGTTCTACAGAGGGAAAAAAACGTTCCCCTGAAACCTGTTCCTTGCCGTGGGGTGCAGGAATTATTCCCAAGCACAGATACCACCACCTTCATTTACTATCGCTCTGAAGAGCTAATACTAACGCCCAAGCTCACTGGTACCCGGGGGGGGGGAGTAAACAAGCCTCGCTGAGAAGGAAGCCCGATTTTCGAACCCAACCCCAAGGCCTCTCTTTACACGGAGAGGTGCCCCAGAGGTTGACTTACCATCTTTTGGGCAAACTTTTTTCTCAGACGCTTGATCTTCAACTCCGCGAAGTTCCTTCGCTTTTTCTTAAGGGTTTCCGGCACAGCAGGAACCTTCTTCTTCTTCTCTCTGGCATCAGCGAACACAAACTGACCAACAGCTCCAACAGCCCCCGCACGACCCCGCATCGCTGCGCGTCCGTCCCGAGCTTGGTCATCTAGCCATACCGCCCTCGCTGGCTCTACAAACTCGCCCCTTTAGCTTCTCCAACGAGCTGTGCTGCAAGACGCAGACTTCGGCGGGTTTCTAGGCCAGGAATCCTCGGCCTTTTAACACGAGGCCCTCCGAGACTACAGCACACTGCCATCGAATGCACGGTCAGGCCCGGGCTCCCGGTCAGAGCCAGCACGGCAGAGGTTAACAAAACGTACAGACCGAGGAACCTGCTGCAGGACTCGATCTACCCCTAGACTCTTCCCGAGTCTGCGCGTGGAGAGCTTAGGAGTCTCAGGAAAAGACGTTTTGAAAACCTCCCAAGCACCGCCCTCATTCAGCTCTGAAGTCCCACATGCTGAAAGCAAAGGCCTGACGACAGGGGCGACGGGGCCAAATACCAGGCAACAATGAGCCCAACTGAGGCGTTCTGAGCCTCCCACCGGTCGCGCACCTATTCGGCTCTCATCCCTCGTTCCCGGTATCCCAAACCTCCGCCCCAAGGCCGCCTGCATCCCATCTTGGCCTGGCGCCCCCCACTAGTGTCACAGAGCGTCACAAACACACAGACAAGCGGGTAAAGGTACAGGCTACAGCCGGATCGAGGGAAAACGAGACAAAAAATCTCCAGTTTCGTGGATGGAGAAGGATTATCAAGCGGACGAAGAGCAACTTACTCCGCACCCTCCATGGTTCCAGCCGGAAAAAGAGGAAGTTGGCGCATGCGCGCTGTCCACTTAAAGACGACAAGCGCGAAGCCCCACAACTCATAGGTGTCCCGGGATAAGCCAGAAAAGAACTCGCAACTGGGAACTCTCGCAGACACAAAATTCAGTGCTCCCTGTGTCTGCCACTTGCGATCGAGTTTCGGGTAAAATTCGTATGAGATAGTGCGTGCACCGGTTAGACTCTTTAATCAGCATCACAAGAGCAAAGAATGCTGACACCTTGACTACTCGGGGTCCTAGTCCCTAGGCTGCGTTGACTCGAAGTGCACCCGGCGATGTACGCAAATAACACGCCGCACCGGCGTGAACTACAAATCCCAGCATGCAGCGCTCTCACCGCCCGCCTGGCGGGAGGGCGACGCTTGACTGGGGGCTGTAGGCAACCACGGTGGTGGTGAGTTCAGCCAGGGAAAATGAGAGCCTTTCGGCTCACATTCCACCGGGCTGGCTGCGAGTCCAAGTCGCTGCCGAGACCTGGCTTTTGGCGGCCTTCCCGGCTGTCTGCCATCGCTCGCCACAAGCCGGCACCCCGCGGCCGCGCGGCCGAGGTCCTCGTCTCGGTTCCTTCCAGCCTGCGGGGCTGTCTTCCTCAGCGCCTGATCGCAGGCGGGGCCGTCCAGAGTCCCACTGCTCAGCGAAAGTGGCGAGATACGGACTAGCGCCGACTCGACGGCGGGAGGAGGATGGCCCGGGCACTGCGGCCCGCCAGGCCCGGCAGGCGGAGGCCGGGACACCCTGCGGCAGGGGGCGTGAGCTGCGAAGGGAGGCGCGACGGGGGCTGGAGGCTGCGGCCACGGCCATGTGAGAGGGGCTGCCCCGCCGCGGTTCGGCGGACGGCGGGCGGGGGGCTGGGCCGGGGGCGGGGTGCGCCCGGGGGCGGGGAGGGCCGAGCGGAGGGAGGGCCGATGCCGCTGCCGGCTCTTCCCGGTCGAGGGTTATATAGCGCGGAGCGTGGAGCCCGCTCAGAGGCGGCCGGGAGCGCTCCGACTTGCGAGCGGCGCCGCGCTGCGGAGCCCGGTGCCCGAGTGACAGCCGCGGGGAGTGCGGGGCCGGGGACCCGGGAGCGCGGGGGCGGCTGCAAGCCGTTGGGCAGCGCTGCGCGGCGCCGGGCGAGTCGCCCCTTCGCGGCGCCCCCGCCGCCCCGCACCCCACTCTCCCACCCTTTCGCAACTTGGGTCAAGTTGACAACTCCCGCGGCGGCCGGCGGGCCCGTGCGGTCTGCGCTGCGCGCCCCTCCCCCGGGGTGAGAGGGAGCCGCCGCGCCGGCTCCGGGGACGCTCGGGCGGCGGCGGCGGCGGCTTGGCCATGAGGGCGGCGCGCGCCGCCTGAGTCGCGGCTGTCACCGCCGCCGCAGCGGGACCGGCCGGCCGGGCGCTGCGGGACAGACGGGCGGCTGCCGCGGCGGGCACAGCCCGGGGCCACCGCGCCGAGCCCGGGCGGGAGCGGCCCCGCGCACTGCAGCCCGGAGGGCACCTGGAGGGGGGGCGCGGGGCGCAGCCTCCGGGGTCCCGCGGCGCCGGCAAACGCCCCCGGGGGGCCGGGGGGCCGGGCTGCCCTGCGCGCGGCGGGCGCGGACGCGGACGCCGGACTCGGGGCGTGCGGGGTTCCCGGCGTCGCGATGAACATCGTGGTCGAGTTCTTCGTGGTGACTTTCAAAGTGCTCTGGGCGTTCGTGCTGGCGGCGGCGCGCTGGCTGGTGCGGCCCAAGGAGAAGAGCGTGGCGGGCCAGGTGTGCCTCATCACGGGCGCCGGCAGCGGCCTGGGCCGCCTCTTCGCGCTCGAGTTCGCGCGGCGCCGGGCGCTGCTGGTGCTCTGGGACATCAACACCCAGAGCAACGAGGAGACGGCGGGCATGGTGCGCCACATCTACCGCGACCTGGAGGCGGCCGACGCCGCGGCGCTGCAAGGTAACTCGGCGGTGCGCGCAGCCGTCCCCGGGAGGCCCCGAACCCCCGCCGCCCCGCCGCCCCGCGCAGCCCCGCTCCCGAGGAGGACAACCAGCCCCTCGTCTTCCGCGAGTGGAATCTGCACCCCCCCCCCACCCCCGGGAAAGGAACACGGTCACCTCCGCTTTAGAAGGGGGAAGGTGCGCCGACCCCGGGGCTTTACGGAGGTCCCGGCTCCTTGGGGACGGACGTCGGGTTTCCTCGCCCCTCGGAGGACCCAGGGAGGGCGGAGAGGGCTCTCGTTAGCTCGGGCCGGGGGCCCTGACGCAGTGCCTCCCGCGCCTTGGCGACGGGGGACGCAAGGGTCCGGGAAGTTGTCCTCAGACGCGGCGGGGCCCCTCTCCGTGCCCCTGTGCTCCGAGCCGCGGAGCTCGGGCCGCGCCGCTGGTGCGGCTCTAACTCCAGCCGCGAGGAAATGGTTACATTGTTTCACCAGAGACAGGTTAAGTGCTTTAGTTACGTCCCTCAGCTTGATTGAATGATATCCTACCTCTTTCAAAGCGCTTGGAAGATTTGAGCCTCGTTCGAGATTTATTTCATGTTTTTCGTAACCTCAGCTGCCTCACTGTATATTTATTAACTAACCTGATTGCTGAGGGTTTTTTTTTTTTTTTAAGTCAGAGCGGAGACCATAACCAACCGTAAATACTGGTCTAGGAAATTGGATTATGGCTCTTACTCTTGGATAAAAATGTTCATTTCTGGAGAAAACACTGAACTGTACTGGCAAGGTTAACTTGGACACCACCACCCCTCCCCCATATCGATCTTTTTTTTTCTCCCCCCCCCCCCCAAAAAAAACTAATGGCACCTGCCTTTTAGGTCAGAAAATCAAAGGTCAGAAAATGTTTCATCTTCAAAAGTGGTATGGAGGGGTAGCAAATACACATTTTTGTGCCTCCTGCCACAACCTAAAAGAGAAAGGTAAATTCAAAAACCAGGAGGTTTTGGGTTTTAAATTGAGATCTTATGCGGTAAAATTGCATGTTTACCTGGAAGTTTGATTTATTTGAGGTGCTTCTCAGGAGAGCTCAGCTATTCGAGTTAGAACAAACCAGTGATCTCCATTCTTTCATGAGAAACTCAAGCTTCATTCCATGGCTTTGGATGACTTCAGATTAACTATGGTTTTGATTTGTGAGCCTTGAGGAGAGTTTCCATTTTGAGGGTGCAGTTACTAAAAGAGTAAAAGCCCGTTCTGGCCACTGTTCCTCAAAAAAGAGGAGTGTGTAGTGTTTGTGTTTGGGAGGAGGGGGTGTTACTCTCTATACTGAGATAAGTTCTTTCCAGGTGTCTTTAGCTCCAGGAAGCTGATCCCATGAGGTCTGACTTGTATTGGGCTTGTCACAATTACATGATTTTCCCCTAAGCAAAGTTATCCAGTAAATTGCTGTAATTCCCAAAGACTTTTGGGGGAGGAAGGCAGCTGTAAGTTCAGTCATTGGCAAGCCTCATGGTGTTAGAAATTTGAAGCTCACTGTAGTATTTTTGTTTTGTGTGATCTTTGTCCTACTGATTGCCATGTGACTCACGTTTTGCACCCCCACCCCCTTCTCTGTTCCATTTTTTCTCTCTCTCTCTTTCTCTCTCTCTCTCTCTCTCTCTTTCTCCTGGACTTCTGAGGACAGCTGGGAATGGTGAGGAAGAAATTCTGCCCCACTGTAACTTGCAGGTTTTTACCTACACCTGTGATGTGGGAAAGAGGGAGAATGTCTACCTGACAGCGGAAAGGGTCCGCAAGGAGGTTGGCGAGGTCTCAGTCCTGGTCAATAATGCCGGCGTGGTCTCTGGGCATCATCTTCTGGAATGTCCTGATGAGCTCATTGAGAGAACCATGATGGTCAATTGCCACGCACACTTCTGGGTAAATATAAACATCCTTGTTTTTATTACTAGGCCCTCCTCAATGAGAAGGCTGGGAAGGAGCCAGACTTCAGTACCAGCCTGAAAGACACCTGTACTGTTTTACCACAAAGCTTCTTTCTAATTTGTTATTTCCCCATGGTGAATTACACTGTACGCCAGTTGCTATCAAATAATTATCTTCTTTCCCCCCGCCCCCTATGCAGTCTTTCTGGAGAGGGTAAAGGACTGAACATTTTGAACTAGTTTGAAAGATTGCCATAAAAATAACAAGAGGGAGCATAAAACCCTGGATTTGTTTATTTTACTTTCTGTTGAGTTTGTAAAACATCGGTTGTTCTTATGAATTCCTGAAGTCAGAGTTTAGGCTTCCAAATTACTGCTCAGCCACATTTTAGAAAGTGCCAAAGATTCTGAGATCAGCATTTGTGGTCCACTGGGAGTGGTTGGGCCACCCTAGCAGTCACTTAACATCCGCTGACCATCCACGGCATCTGTGGCATTATCCTGATAGAGTACATCTCAGAACTGTCTCCGCTTACAAGATGCCTCTCTCGGGAGAACAGAAGTCACCCTGATAATACCATAGAGTCACTCACTATACAAGGGGCAGAAAGATTGTGAAACTTGGGGAACTAGGGACTTAAAACCATGTCAGCTTCTAACCAGCAGAGCTACACAGCATCTAAGGATGAGTGAGAAGGAGGGCTTTCTTGCTCTGGATACCAAACTAATCCCAGTTTTTCAGCTAAACTTCAATAATGGTAGGTGTGAAGCTCTCCCCCATAACTGTACACTGCTGACCTTTATTCTCTTCTTCTTCCACAGTAATTCCCCTTTACTTTTGTAGACAGGTAAGAGCCAATAAAGAAAGGGCAAGGAGATAGGATTTTTGTTTTTCTATATTTTCCATAGGTGGATTAGCCTTCTGATGGAACACAACAAAGAACTGTTTCTTCTAAATAGGTCACATTAAACCTCATTAATTTTTTTAGCAACTGCTTAAAAACTTAATCTGGCTTTAGAAGCACTTATTCAAATATTGTTCCTAGAACATCAAACCATTTCTCTGATCCTGAAAGAAGCTTACCTAAATGTTTTATTGTAAAACATGAGCTTTACTTAATTCATTTCCAGAGCTCTAGAAATGAACACAAGTGGTGTGAGCCAACTCCTATGGATGTTTTAAATGAGTAAGGAGATTACCAAATACAGTTTGGGGGGATTTAAGTGTGCTTTTGCATGTGGGCGTGTGCATAGGTGTTTGTGTGAGACAGAAAAGGTGTGTGTGTGTGTGTGTGTGTGTGAATTGTATTATATGCAGTAGGGATGGGGAACGGAGTAAAAGTCCATAGGAACAAGTAGCAAGTGACAAGGGGATGCATCAGGTGAGTAAAGGTATAACGAATAAACGAATACACTTGGCAATATAGTTTATCAAGAATCTTACATATTTATGATTCTGAGTAAAACAACCACTATTTGAAATAAAAGATGTATGTGAATTGCAGGTGGACTTGTAGTTTTCATAGTGGAATGAGAAGGATGAAGCTGCTTAGAAACTCCAGGTGACTTCAGTTGACTCATCATCTTTAAACAGATATACAGTCATTGGTAGGCTACTTGTGAACCACCAACACCACGACTATTTTTTGTCCAATAACCTTTGATTGAGATGGTCTTCCGTTTCTGAACTGTAAACCTTTACCTACATGCTATTCTAAAGTTTAGCCATCTTGCCTACTTTTTCTGCGTGATTATTTTGCTGAATTATAAAATTTCAAATGTAACCACACTTTTAAAGAAACCCATACAATGTGCAGTTAAATACTTTTAAGACGAAAGGAGCCTCCTTTTGCTAGATATTCTATAAAATGAGAGGTAATTGAGAGTGTATTAAGCCCAGAAAATCCATAGCTTTGGCTTTGAAGATGCACACGAATTGATATACTGTACCTTAACATTAGACTACTCTCTAACCTGAGGAGAAAATTGAATCAAATCTCCGATAGAAAAATTATTGTGGAATTGAACCTACATACTAAGGAGGAACATACCACCTTCCCAGAGTCCTTACTTTGCTTCGAGATGTTGCTTAACTACACAATTTAGTTCTTGGACGCCTTGGCAGTAATGACGTCACTTCATATTAAAATATGGGAGGCTCCTGAATTCTCCAGCTGTTTTTCCCTTAAGCATCTAAACTGAAGAATTTATTTTCAATATTGAGTCAGAAAATTCATTTTAGAGTTGGAATTTCTGACTTCCTGCCGAGACTTGCAAACCTTTTAAGAAATTGAGATCTGGCAACTAAAATTTAGAAGACTTATAATTTTTACAGTGATTTGGGGTGTTAAATGATATAAGAGCTACCTGAATTCAGCTTCCCTTCCCGTAGTCCTAGTAGGCGAAAATGTTTGTGACAACAGTCTAAAGAAATATTGGCATGTGCAGTTTTCCTTCCAAAGAAAATAACCAGTGTGTCTTTTTACTGTGTCTGGGTGGAGAGAAAAAGTTGCCCCATACATTTTTAAAAGATCAGCTGAGCAAAGAGTCCCTTAGTCATTTGAACAGATAGTCTTGCGCCAGACTTGTAAGTAGCAGTTGCTGTCTGTTTTCATAAAATACTAAATGGTATGTTGATCCCAACCCAGCTTAAAGTCCTATCCAGTGAAACAGAAAACCCTGTGGACTTCCACTGAAAAGCTGTGGGTGCTCCTACTTCAAAACCTTTATACAACTGCCTCTGCCTTCAAGACCCTCTTCCACCACTCCTGTACCTTTTAAGGCTTAACACAAGTTCCTAATACAGTCTTCCCTCCCCACTCCAGCCCTTTTCTGGCAGTTTTGCATATTAGAGCTGCACTTATCCTTAGAGATCCTCTTGCCCCATCTCTTATTTTCTGATGAAGCTGCAGTTAAATGGCTTGTCTAAAGCTTGCTTCTTGCCATTAATCTCTTGCAGCATCTGTTCATTATCACCCTTTGTGGCGTAGCATGTGTTCTCCAGTATAGTTTTTTTTTTTTTTTTAATGTATTGTGCCCTGAAATTCCAAAATAGATGGCAAGCTGTCTGAAGGCAGTTTTTTCTAGCCTTCCTATTTGTTTTTCCCTGCCTGGAAGAGAACTCCACTCTTAAGATTCAGTGAACACTCAACAAATGTTTGATAATATAGACTAGACTTCTGCTTAAAGATTCAGAACATAGCCCACTCAGAGGATGCTCACAGGAGCCTGTCTTCTGAAATTTCAAAAGGTAAGCCTTATGGTGGACTAAGGTAGGCTGTGCAAGATTGAGGAGATCACAAAATGGGGCTGGCTCACATTCATAATGGTTTGTATCTCCTTTTGTTTTGCTACACAACTTTTCCATGCCTCCCGCCCCACCTCCGTGCTCACATTTACTGTGGTGTATTAAACTCTGCTCATTGGTGCAAGGCTAGTGACATTGAGAAGGCCAGTGTTGATAAACCAGTTTGAATCAAACTCAAATTGAATGTATGGTGACCATTCATACCTCCCAATGGCTGGGCCTCAAGGAGAGGATTCCCACTGCAGTTCCTTCCTTGATTCTTAATCTCATACTAGTCATTTCCATGCACATTGAAAGTTTTTAACATGCTTGGCATTGTTCTACATAGCCCTCCAGTTTGCTATGATACTTCCGTCTTCCAATATTCTATCACCAGCAGCTCTCCTAGGAGCTTCCTCTTGGTCACCAGTCAAGAAGTGATAGACTTGGGATAGGTTCTAGTCAGTATAATCTCTTGTGCAACATTCAGGGTTAACACAAGACCAAGGAGAATGTAAGCAATGCAATGCACTTTAATGTTGGCATAATCCTAGAAACCATTCACTTAGGTGTTCTCTCTGTAGCTCTGTGCAATACAAAAACTTGAAAATACCTCGCTAGTTTCTTTTGAAACATGGCAAGTTGGCCTCCACACACAAATTGCAAGCCCGTGTTTTCCCCAAAACATTAATATTGCTTCACTTGGTTTTTTTGTTTTTAAGAGGAGAATTTTAGCTTGTCATTTTTACAAGACAGAGTTTATCTGTAGATCCTTTTTGACCAAAGAGCTGCATTTGGCCTTTATATGTGAGCAGCAAATTGATCCCTGATTAGCCAAAAGGGGGAAGCAAAAGCATTTAACTCCAGGCCTTTTATGTTCTGAAGAAATTTTGCATGGTAAAGGGCTAAATCTGTCAAATAGCTAGTCGGTAATTTACTTCTATTGATATGGTAGTCAGACAAGATAATTGGTAGTTAATTAATAGACCACTTAACTTAAAAGGTTTCACAGTTTTAAAATACTAATTACTGAATTAGGCATTTATCTATATCCAAATGTCTAAAGTCTATTTAGTTAAAATCCATCCAGGAAAAGTAAAAGCCCACCAGCTAGATCTGAGTAATGTAGCACTTAAAGACATTAGTGCTGTGTAGTACCTAATATCTCATGAATGGTCCCTAATCATTAATGTTTAAGTTCCTATGTGATTTACTGGTTTTTAATCTCAAATGCTGTATTGTTCTCTGGTTAGAGAAACCTAGTTTTGTTCGAGGCCTCTTAGATTTAGAATTTTTAAAAAACCATTTCTAAAGTATTCATAAAAAACTACTTGGCCAGTACTTCCTCCTTCAAACCATAATATTAAGAATTGTTATACCATATATTTTGCATACATAAAGTATTTTCCTATGTTGGGATAGCTACTGAAAAGTTGGAATACGTGGTCAGTTTTTAAGTCTGTACTAGAACTAGCTTCTGTTGTTAAATAAATATCATATGCCTAAAAATCAAATGTTTGAGCTTTAGAAAGACTTTTTAGGTCTTGAGCTGAACTGTAAATTGACATAGGTAAGCATACTTTATCTTACTAATTCTCGAGGTCCCATTTAAAAACATCTCTTAGGTAGCAACTACTCGGATACTTGGGACCGTATCCCTAGTAGGTCATTTCATAGCCTTGTTCCCTAACATGAAATGAGATCACACG